TGGAACACGGAGTCCCTGATGAGTATGGTGAGGAGTGGGGAATCGATAGTGATTCTGATAGGCCAGCGTCGTTGAATGACTTTGCGGATTTCATGAAGCTCAAAGGCACTACTTGGGAACCACAGGAAATTCTTCTCTCACCGTCAGTGCCAAAAGACATTGAAAGACAACCAGCTTACTCAGCTGACCAGCAGCCTGAGGTGACAGCTCAGCCACCGTCAAGTCCCACAGCAGCTCCCGTTGAGGTGGCAAAGCCACCAAATCCCAAAGCATCAAGTGGAGTTGAGACAGCTGAGCCACCATCACCGAGTGCCAAAGCAGCTTCCGACACGGCAGAGGCATCATTCAAGGTCCAACACCTCAAGTGGAGTTGAGGAGGCAGCTCCCGCGGCACCATCACTGAGTCCCAAAGCAGCTCCCACGGCACAGGCATCACTCGAGGTTGACGCAGCCGCAGCTAAGGCACCATCACCGAGTCCCAAATCAGCTCTTGACACGGCAGAGGCACTGGCAGAGGCATCACCCAAGGCCAACACCTCAAGTGGAGTTGAGGCAACGGCAGCGGCATCACCCAAGGCCAACTCAAGTGTAGTTGAGGCAGCCGCAACTAAGGCACCATCACCGAGTCCCAAATCAGCTCTTGACACGGCAGCGGCAGAGGCATCACCCAAGGCCAACACTAACACCTCCAGTGGAGTTGAGGCAACGGCAGAGGCATCACCCAAGGCCAACTCAAGTGGAGTTGAGGCAGCCGCAACTAAGGCACCATCACCGCAGCCATCATCCCTGGGCGTTGAGCATCAGGGCATTCCCAATCAAGCCAAAGGTGCTCCAGCAGCGGCTAAGCCGGGATCAGTGCCTGAACTCCCAGCAGCTTCAATCCCAGCCCCAGCAATGGTGGTTGCGAAATCTCCCACAGTCATGCCACCACATGCCACACCCAAACGTGCACTTACCATTTTTTGTTTGCCTTTTTTTGCTGTTGCTTTTATGCTTAACAAATTCAAGCTCCATTCGCTGAGTTTAACATATGTTTGTTTAACAAGTTAACAAGGATTCAGTTGCTCAAATTGCCAAAAATTTTAGTTATTTTTAGCGCAAGATGCGCAACGATTCGTGCAGGTCAGCCAACCAGAGCACGCAGAAGAACCCAAAGCGAAAGCGAAAGGTCGTCATTCTAAGCAGAACGCGGTTTTCCGGCGGTCATACTCATACTATTTTGTTTTGCGATTAAGTTTTAAATTCTAAATTTAGTCTTTTAATGTTCAATTGAATGGGGTATGGCTGCAGTTTCACTTTGTGTTCTCAAAACTTTAACTAAGACTTGAACTTGAACCTGACATTTGATGATCGATGTGCAACTGTTTTTAGGTTGATGAGCTGTTCAACAAGTGCAAGCGGGCAGCTTCTTCAACGCCGCCTCCGAAGGCAGCCCCGAAGAAAGGTCGCCATTCGAAGCAGGATGCAGTTTCCTCGAACCAAGTTTATATTTGATTCCCCGAATCCCGAATTTTGCAATAAATTAGAATCCCGAATCCAGAGTATTGTTTGCTACTGTAGGACTCTGGACTCTTTGGGTTCTACTAACTCGCCATACTCCCCATTCCCAACCCATGGCACAATCCATTTAGGTTGATGCTCTTTTCGAGAAGTCCAAACGGGCTCGCAGATTGGCCGGTTGGCTATGAGGAATTGTGCTTTCTCAAGGTGAGAAATCGACGCATTTTGCGTCCGTGTCTTGATACAGCATGTCTGGCTGGCTGAATGTTCATTGTGTTATTTGTTGTCTGTTTGAAGCTAAAGAGTACTAGAGTATATCAGTATATACTCATAGACTTCCGACGTCCAATCTCAGGATATGGCAAAGAATAGGCTACCTCAAACCGATCTACATCTTGCGATGGTCGGTGCACAAATGATGAGGGGCCAGGGGACGTTGCAAAAGTAATGGGTTTTTGCAAGAACTCCCAAACTTCAATTATGAGAAATACGACTGGCCCCTTCTTAGTTAGGAGCTAGGAGCTTGGTGGGTAACATTTTTGCATTTTTGGAGGTAGAACCTTCTTTGGGCAACCAATTAACTCAAATGATAAAATTGACCAGGAACACTTTTCGCATTGTCATTGTCATTGTCATTGCCCATTTTTTGGGAGAGTCATTGAACATTGACAATGATTTTGTTTCAAAGTCACTGCCACTGCCACTGACAATGTCAATGTCACTGAGATGAACTGGCCAGGGCCTCAATATGCCTCAATCAATGACAAGGCTTGCAAGACTCAGGGACTAAACTCTTGACAATGACCCATTGATGTTTTGTTTGGCAAGTCGCAACTTAGAGGCAAACATTTGACAAACATGTTCTCAGGTTGCAACTTGACATGCGCTGTTGCTGCAGTCACTGTCAAGTAAGGGGCCAGGCTCCCAGCAGCTGGCAACAACCTGCCGCAAGAAACGCCGTGAGGGACTTCACCCAAACACTTGGACCTTACGGGAGGGCTTGTGTTTTGCTTCCGTTTTCTGGTTAGTGTTACGTAGTGTTTTTTAGTGTGGGAATCCTCTTTTCTGCTGGGGAGTCCTCCTTTCATGTCTGGGAGCCCTCTTTCTGTGGTTGGGTGTCCTCCAATCGTCCCCGGCTGTTCTCCTTTCCTCTTGGGCACACCTCCTACCAGCCAGTAGGCGATCTTTGACAAACTGCGTTGGAGGACTGCCATTTTCCTCTTGCAACAGCTGTCGTCACTACCATGCTCCCCGTGTGAAACAGCTGTCACCTACCGCACATACCATGCAAAGGTTTTGCATGGTCAACTCCCCAAAGAAACTTACATGACCCCATGTTCTCCGCTGTGACTATGGCGCACTTTGGCTGGCACTACAGCTGGGTCACTCTCAGCAACAAAAGCCATTGTAGGTTTAACACCAGTGTTGTCCCATCTCCACTTCTTGCCACAGACCAAGTGTTTCAAAATGGCGTGGAGCGTGGCGTGCTTTTTTCGGAACGAAGCGGAACACCAGAGCAGACGATTTCCTCTTGCAAGCGCAGGCAGTAGTTTCCTGGCAGCAATGGGGAATCTGCAATACAACACTCACAACAACAAAAGGAAAAACATGACCAGAAAACAAACCCAAACTGATCATTAGTGTCAAGCAAGCATCAGCAGTGGGCCTTTCAATCCCTGTGTCACACAGGAGTGGGGTGTAGCCAGGTAACCGCCCTTCAGCATGGCCACCAGCTTTGTCCTCTTGGGCAATGAGTCTGGGCCTGGGTCAGGCACAATGAAAACACCAGCATTGACCCTCTTGGCAACAGGCTTGATGCCAGACTTTTGAAGCCAGTGGAGCACCTTTGCATCACTATTGACTGCAGGGTCCACGTGAACCTGCAATTGTTTGACCTCTTTGATGGTCAGGCCATGACGATTTGCAGGGTTCGTCAACTCTGCCACTTTTTCCTGCTCCCTCAGGCGTTTGGCGTCGTTCTCTTTTTTCTTCTTCTGAAACTTTGCTACTCTCTTCAGGAAGGAGCTTGTGATGAGCTTTGTGGGCAAAATGTGCTGCTGGTAGGCCTCAATCATTTTTGCAAGTCGTTTCTCCCCTTGAAACGCTATCTCTTTGGAAGCCTTCTCTCCCAGTTCCACTGGTGTAGGTTTCACTGTCTTACACGGCTCCTCTGCCATAAGTTTGTCAATTGAACCCCTCCGATGCCTCAAGAAAGCAGCTTCAGATGCCATTGCTTCAATCTTTTGTCTTTTTGAAACATCAGCTCCACTGGTGTTGTCCAAGCTGCGCTTTTTGTTGCGCCTTTTGCCTTTTGAACTTGCCCGTGTAATCCCAAACCACTGACCCCAAACTTCACGCGCTTGTTCTAAAACAGGCTTCAAGTCTGATTCCAATGGCCGATCCAACAAGACTTTGGTCAAAGCATTCTCTTTGCATTCTGCCAAGTGTCTTTGCTGAGCATTGATGTCTTTTCTGGTTCTTCCAAACCCACGTTCAACAACTGTAGTTGAAGCACCCAAAGCCA